TTGTGTTACTCCCTTTTTACTTCGAAGGATTCCGTAAGTTTCCCGTTGTCCATTACTTGGCATCTAGCGTTGTCACACAACTGTTGGATGAGATGTATAATTGTCGGCGGGACCCTTGGTAGTAGCGAAGTAGTTTCCAAATCACCTCTCGGTCGACGCTGCGCTGTTGAAGGCCTTTCAAAAGTCGACGAAGTTGAGATAGAGAGGTGACTGCTTTTCCAAGCTCTGTTCAATGATGATCCGTAGTGTGGCGATTTGACATGTCTCTGCTGAATCCAGCCTGTTTCGGTCGAAGTTGACAACCGGGGAAGTTGAAACCTATTCGTCAACGGCTAGCCGTGCACACTATGAAAGATTCACTTCATTTTTCTGAAACTATGAACCACATGAACGTTTAAAATAAGTTCATGGTGTCATTTGATGCAACCTTCTTGTTCACACAATGATTCGAATCAATGAAACTATTGAGATCATTTGTCAGCAGTCTGATCTTTTCCCACTCCCGGAGTCGGCATTCAAACGCCTACTGCTAATTTGTACCATGGATGTACAATTCCAATTTGACAACACTCTTTACCGTCAAATAGATGGTGTAGCTATGGGCTGTCCAGTTATCCCTATTTTAGCAGACATATTCTGTCCAACCTTGAAAGAACAAAGTTGATGCACACAATCGATGAAACAACTTCCTACTGTCGATATGTTGATGACACATTTGCAGTGTGTGTACAATAATGAAAGTCATGCTTCACACTTATTCAGATTATTCAATGATGCACACATTAATATTGAGTCTACTATGGAACATGAGAGTGACGGAAACTTCCACTTCCTCGACACTTCCATGCAACGCCTAGAAGTTAATATATCGAAAGCCTACATGTAGTGGAAAGGACAATACGTACAATTTAATAGTTTTTGTCCAAATAGTTTTAAACGCGGACTAGTCAAGACTCTGTACTATAGAGCGAGGAGAATATGCTCTATAGAGAAATTAAAGGAAGAATTTCAGTTTCTTGAATAGATGTTGAAGAGCACTGGTTACCCTCAAACATTCATCAACAAGTATGGAAGATTTGAAGTCTCAAATGTAAAACAAATCACAGTGGGTAAAATAGCCAATTTACATTCAACTTGATTATAAAGGTGAAAACATTGCAGCAATGAGCAATAGAAGGCTGACTACTTCACTAGCCAGAGCCAATCCTGCAGCTAGCTAAGTTGGTTCCCGTCTGTCGAACAACTTGCTCTCTTTTGGTGCAATTAAATCTTGATAGATATCCTTCTCATGTTAACTCCAACTGTATATACAGATTTACATGTATCTGTGGGAGCAGTTACATTGGAAGAACATAAAGAAGAAGGGCATATCTACGATTTTCTAAACATGTAACAAAAAGCTTGTGTCTACAGCTGGGAACAAATGCTTTAAACAGTCCCATCCATCGCCAGGCATCTCTCCTTGACAAGGGTCGGTCATGAGGTGGATGTCGAAAAGTCGTTCAAAATTATCAACAGGCAAAAAGCTCAATTCCCCTCAAGTTTGCTGAAGCCATTTCCATCAAGCGCCTGAAACCTGACTTGTGCCTTCAGAAAGAAGCGGTTATCATTCTTTGTTTGCCCATCCTGGTAACTAGATATTTTCATCTCTCTCTTTCATCTGAATGCGTAATGCTGAAAATTTTCCATTGTGTATGATTATTATTGTTCGGAATAATGTTTAATATTACATATATACGAATATGCATATATTGATCGATTGATTGATTTTTGTTTAAAATGAACACTGTGCAAGTATGTTAAAATTGTTTCTGTAGATATACTTAATAATGTCTTTGGCCTGTAAGCAGATGACGAGAAGTCAACGAAATAAACAGTGATGGTGCCACTTTGTTCTACAAAAACCACCGTAGTTCTTGCTTTTTTCAAACAAAATCAGGCGAGCAAACAGTAGAATAATGTTCGAGAGGAGGTAGAGATGATGAACAGTGATTCGAGTACTTTATCGCATTGTAGATTCTGAATATATATACGAGTTGATCACGGATTGATATCAGTTAGAGAACTATTGTAAACCAACCACAGGGAGTAGAGGACAGCTGTTTCATTCCTCCTACTTTGGGAATCATCATCAGTATTCACCCACCATATGGGGTTCAAACCAAAGAACTTCCTATTACAAGGCAAGCTAGCTGGCTCGTATACCATTCAGTCACTTACTGAGAAACGATTCCTCTATGGCCAGCCAACCAGTGCATGAATTCTAACTTCTACCAATTCGTGATGCATTTAGCGCAACTGACACCAAGAATGTCATCGGTGGAACATCCATCATCACACATGACATCTGGATGGACCTTACTGGTGGCCACAACTTCTCACTAGAACTGGCTGACTGCAGGAAACTCCATCCTGTAGCAAGTGGTCACTAGCGAGCATCAGATTAATTTTCTAGAGTTTGTCTTGTAAGGGTTAGTTGTGGCCGCGTTAAATGACAAATTGGTAGAAGTTAGGATTCATGCATTGGCCATTGAATCGGGTGGGTCCCAGTGAGTGGTTGAATGGTATACGAGCCAGCTCGCCTTGTAACCGGAAGGTCCTGGGTTCGAACTCCACTGTGGTGGGTGCATACTGCCGATGATTCCCAAACTAGCCTGGTGAAACAGCTGTCCACTACTTCCTACAGCTGGTTTTCAATGGTTCTGTAACTGATATCGATTCGTGATCAACTCATAAAAACAAAACTAACCCTTACTAACCAATCTATAGAATATATATATATATATATTACAAAGTCACTAATTAGTTTCGCTCGACAGTCAAATACATTTAAGGAATTGTTATTTTAGTTTTGTTTTCCTGTTGTATATGTGCAAAAGAAATTCAAGATGTATTCTTGTATTTAGTAAAACTTCTATTTTATTCACTCATTCATATTCTTTTAAAGCCACCTGTTCTTAGATGATTTGATAGAGAGAACAAGTGAAACACAGTCAGTATGAATGGGGGAATTAATTGGGGAGATGTTTTGATTTTTACGCAAGTGATGAAACGATTTCTTCTGGCTCTATCTATCACATATAGTTTGTTCTTTTCAACTTTTTCAACTTTTTTGATCATCGTAGATACATTTATTATGTGTGTGTGTTTGTGGTAGAAAAAGTTGAAACTTTTCCAATTTCAGAAATTTAGACTTATCAGAGAAACAGGTGGTAAATAGGCAAATGATAAGTGAAACAATCTCTTACAGAAATGGCACCCTAATCAGCTCCAAAGATGGACGACTGGAACTCTGGAAAGAACACTTTGAAGAGCAATTCAATTGGTTTACAGCTACTTTCAACTTACCGAACATCCAACATCTCCCTGAATAGGATATAAACACAGGTCCTCCGTCTCTAACTGAGGTTATTGAGGAATAATTTCGTTGACTTTATTTTTTTTTATTACAGCTTGATTCTACACCGTATTTTTGGTTGAGGTATGAAATTTTCAGCATGTGATATCGGTAGCCTAAATTTTGCAGGCCGATCATAGATATCAGGTGTGCGTCGGGGGAGGACCGAACCTCGGACCATGTGCATGATCGGCGAGAGTTCTAACCACTGTGCCACCGACACACAATATGCAGGTGATATAGTTTCGACTCCTAGGCGGAGAAAATGACAAAACCAGGCAGAGTCTTCTCAACAACCTGAGCTGCAATCTACGAATGTTTGGCATGCGATTCGCTCGTGCTGCTGTCGAATGTAAGATGATGTTACAAGACTGACTGAACTACACTGACTCCTAGTTTACAAATAGGCAGCAGCGAAGTGGTTGGTGGAGAACGTTGACAGCTTTACTTATTTGGGAAGTACCATCAACCAGCGCCAACTGGTTGATCTCTGACGAAATCTCAGCTGAGTATGGATACAGAGGGTTAGTTTCGCATATGCGCGCCAGTTTACGCCGTCTCTTGCTTAGTAGACGTTATATCTGGATGACTGTCGACCAAATGGCGAGTGTACTGCTCATCAGTCTGCTCCGTCCTCATTTACAGTTAGCTGTGAGACCAGGCCGTTGAGAGGGGAATACATGAAAAGCCTGGCTAGCTGTCTTTGATCAAAGGTGCCTGTATTCTGTCTCTCGTGTGAAGTGGCATAATAAGGTGAGCAATATTGAGGTTAGGCGTAGGTGGAGTGCTAGGTAGGTGGGGAAATCAATCGACGAGGCTGTGAAGCTACATCAACTGAGGTGGTTAGGACATGTGTTACGCATGCATCGACAATGGGAAATGTTAGCTGACATAGGATTGGTTAGGCTGGAAAAGAGAGAGCTAGTGGCATTCAAACCAAAACACGGCTTCTTCATCAGTCAATGAAATCCACAACAGCTAGTTTAAGCCAGCTAGCCACGCAGGAAGGTGTAGACTGGCTTCATGGTTGGGGTTCTCGAGACGCTAAAAGCCAATGAAGGCTGGAAACAATTGCTTTGTGTGGTACAAGGTGGGAGTGTGGTGACTTGAACTGGTGCATACTGGTGCAAAGCTCTATGTCGAAAATAGAGAGACAGACAGAAGGATGATCAAGTTAGTAGACTTTGTTTTGATAACAGCCAGTGCAGATATACTATTGTTATATGGTTTAGTGATCTTCATTGTTATTTGCCCCTTCAATATGTCCTCCTTTTAACTTGACCTAAGAAGTCAAGTAGTCTATTTTCTCACCCACCTCTTAACTCTTTGTTATATATATATATATATATATATATATATATGCTGATTGGATTTTGTAAATTCTGGTTTAATAATACTCCTGCTTTGATAAAGCTGTTACCAGAAGCAGCATTAAATAGCGAAACGTCAGTCAGTAAGAGCAACAATATCGTTTTGTTCTTTTTCATTAATCCATTGGGAAATACAAAAAAAACCCTTATTTTAATCAGTCGTATCAACAGGAGAACAGAATGCAATGACTAATTTGTTGAAGCATATAACAATTAACATGGCATTCACTTACCATATTTGTTTGAATAGTAATCAAGGGTTGCTGATGCTCAGAATGCCATAATTTTATTGTCATATCAGCGGAACAAGACAGAAATACATCGGGTATGAATGGAGACCATTCAATGTGATAAACGGATGCCTAAAAAGAATAATTATACATATATAAATAAATGTTTTTAAGTATGGCGTAGAGTAGTTAAGCAAATGTTTACTGATGCGACCACGTTTCGAGCACAATTTATTGCTCATAATCATATCAAGGTACTACTCACACAACTTTCTAACTTCGTTTATTTCATTTATTCCGTTTAATTCCATTATTTCTCATCGTTTGATTTGATTGGTATTAGTGGTATTTTCCATATTTCCGGTATGAGTGATGAGTAATTGCACCCTATTGCACTGTTGAGTGTAGATTATATGAGCAAGGATTCAGTAACCAAGCTCCCTCAACCTACCTAGATTACTTTTTAGAATTTTAACCCTCTTCCACGATGCGATTGTATGGTTGTGTGTTAATGCGTGAAGTGCTATTGCTGAGCTAACTAACTGCAGATCCTGAACTCATTCATTGGACGAAGTTACCCACTGAAGAAATTATTTTAGGAATTCAGTTATGCTTCACATCTACTGTCTTTAAATTCCAAGGCGAAAGTATATATAGACAAACAGAAGGTGTAGCAATGACATAGATCACCAGTAGCCCCTATCGTGGCAGATATCTTTATGGATGGATAGCTGGTAAAATATAGCTCTTAATACATTCACCTAATCCTACTCGAAAAATATAGTGAAGATATGTGGATGACAAACACTTTCACACACAGTGTTAAAAACAGAGCACATCTCTCTCTCTCTCTCTACCTTCTTCACACACACAGATAAACTCACCAACCGGGGGGAGGGGGAGGGGAATAAAATTCAACTTTGAATCGGAAAATTGTAAAAGGAGAATTAGTTGTGATGTTAGATTGTAAAATAAAACGCATAGAAGAAGGTGAACTGCACACATTAGTGCTGATAAAAAACTGAATATATTCTGCTAGTAGATATTTAGACTGTGATTAATCTCATCCATCATCTTTCTCTTAAGGCAGGCGGCTTAGTTAAGTGTCTAACAAACCGAGTAGTAGCACTAAATAGCACAAGAAAAGACCTGAATGATGATGAAATGAAACAGATCGAAGAAGCTTTGGTATCAAGTAGCTAACTATCCTATAAAATTCATTAGGAAGATCAGTAAATGCCAAAAACGAAATAAAAATAATTGTGGAACTAGTAATGATAACATAAATAAGCGAGAATATAAGTCATCTACAGCAGTTATACTATATAAGGAGGGGACATATGAGACCCTCCCTACGTAGAAATCCAGCATAATCCATTGCAAAACACTTATTAATGTATGGTCACAAAATCAATATTAATGACTGTTTCACAATTATTTCATCATATAAATATGATTCAAGGTTGGTTATTGAAGGTGGTGGAATCACTTTGTTGGATTAATCAAATACAGCCTAAACTGTGTGTACAGTCAAAACACAATAGACTTCAATCCTCGTCTACCATGGACTACATGACCTTTTAAATATGATTGGTCATTAGTATGTACTTTTGTTTCTATTTAACTGAGTAATTTTCATGAACTTGATTTTATCATTGTTAACCATGTTAGTTGTAAAGCGGTTGTAAAGCAACTACGAAATGATGATATCATCTCGCGAAATTTGTCTTCTTGATGCCTTATTCAAATTAATCAAAAGGACTAATTGTTTTAATTCAGACAGTATTGTCGATAAAGTCAGTTTGGAAATCTTAGCATGTTATTGTAAGGTATTGAATCTAATGTTCTATTTATATAGCAGCATACTGAGGGGAAATACAAAATTAACGGTTATAAAACAGGTTAAATTATGTTCACACTAATGAGAAAATAAACAAATAAAATAAAAACAAAAAATTGACAGGATTGTAAATATAAGAAGTACAATAACAATAAAGGTTGATGTAGTAAGGAGGGTGGAGGAAATGGTTTATCTAGTAGTGTGAAGATGGTTAGTTAGCTAGTTAGTTCATGTCTAACACTATTTCCATCACATAAAGTACGTACCACCAAATACGGTATAGGGAAATTTTTATATTGCGACGTACGTGCATAAAGTCTTCTGAAATAGAGATGGGGAATTAACTCATTCGACCCCGTTAAGCCAATTCTTAAACATATCACTTTGCTTATCCAGAAGACAATCTGATTTTTAGTAATATAAGTTGGTGTGTGATACTGACTCATTAAGAAAAACAGGGTGATGAATGAGTGAACTATTAATGGCATAGATTTGTTCTGACGTATTCAATAAATATCCTAGTAACCTGTTGAATTGAGGCGTGTAGAAGAGACATTTACCAGAACAAGTTACGATTTATGGGCCATTGGATCGGGTCTCAATGGAGTAACGGTCTACGAGCTAGCTCGACTTGTAACCAGAAGGTCTTGGGTTTAAATTCCGGTGGGTGCGTACTACTGAAGAGTCCTAAACCAGGGTGACGAAACGGTTGTCCAGTACTCCCATGTGGGTTTTCCAGTGGTTCCCTAACCAATGTCAGCTTATGATGATATCCTGTAACCAAAAAAAATATCAAACGGCGAAGAGATAGATTTGACATCCAAGACAGAAAATAAACCAGTGTTGTTGTGGCGAAACATGGGACACACAGGGAAAGAAGGCAAAGAAACACAATATAAAGGAAGGGCAGAAGAGTAGCACAACAATACGGAAGATCTCTGCAGATGACGATTCTCTTATATATAGGGTGAACATAGATATGATAGGGAAGATTTTTAGCTCAGGTGGATGGATGACTTTGATGTGGTTGTGTTCTCTGAGCTAACCGGATAGTTAATTTGCAAAGCTTTCATCGCCCTGCCTACTAGGCAAGCGACATCTTCCTTCAGCGCATACACTTCAATTTCAATTTGTGGAAGTGAACTTTTAGATTTCTCCACGAGTTCACCATTAATCATCTCTCCTGGTCGGTGACTACCTTGAACGCCGTGATAGGTTGTTTTTGTGTGTGTTTTCACACCTTCTAGGCGGCTACTTCTATTGGAACTGATTGTTTGTTTGACTTGAAGAGTGACCTTTTGTGTGTGTGAGTAGTGATATGATATGTCACTGCATACAAACAACTACGGACATCAATTCGACTGGGACAACCAACGTTCAAATATTAGACAGAAGAAACAACACCAAGAATGCTAGCCAGGGAATTTTTAGAAGCCCATCTGGTATTCCAGTGAATCACCAAACAATAGACACATGGAGATAGACAAAATTTATCAACCGATAAGAAAGAAACCTCACACACATAGGGTCAAGCTTCAAGTCAAACAAACAATCACTTCCAATAGAAGTGGCCGCCTATAGGGTGTCAAAACACACACAAAAACAACCGATCATGGCGTTCAAGGTGGTCACCGACACGGAGAGATGATTAATGGTGAACTCCTGGAGAAATCTGAAAGCTCACTTCAAATTGAAGTATGCTCTGAAGGAAGATGTCACCCATGAGGGCGATGAAAGCTTCGCAAATTAACTATCCAGCTAGCTCAGAGAACACAACCACAACAAAAAGGTTAACATAATTTACCCACAAAGAGATGTCAAATTGCAAAAATTAACATTCCTTTACCAAGTATATATGTATATAGTATTACTCTATGCATATATTGATCGACTGATTGATTTTTATTCAAAGATGAACTCTGTGCAAGTGTGTCAAAATTGTTTTTGTAGATATATTTAATAATGTCTTTGCCCTGTATGCAGCTGACGAGAAGGCAACGAAATAAAACATGGTACCATTTTATTCTGTTCTGTTCAAATTCATTAAGGGGAATAAATGTATGAAAATGAACAAAGTTGCTACCATGACAGTAGAAGTATTTAAGTGATTCTCTTTTGTATACACAGCTCCGGTTTTTCTATGTAAATGGCCAGAGCTTCAGCGATACAAAGAAGACGAAACCGTATATCCTTTGATAGGTTATTCTTGGCTCTGTAGATTACTTTGAAGGAGGCGTTTGTTGAAATGCAATGATAAGTGTTAACCAGGTGTTCAATTGTCGCGCTCCTTATTGCACCACTTTTGCCTTTTCACAACCATGCTGGCTGGATAGTATTCTTGAATCCTCTTGGAGAGGGTGAGCGTTCAACGACCGATGTACCTAGCTAACTCGACAGCAACAGGTGAACTGATATATGCACACAGAAGTGGTCAGATGAGGGATGTTGTCCTTGAGGCTTCTGCAAATCAGTGGGCGACTACTGCAGAACACTATTCTTAGCGTTGCTGGAAAGAATGTTCTTCTCAGAGATGATGTGATCTTTCTCTTGAGAATATCGCTTTCTCAGACTGTCTTGCATGGAAGCGTTAGGAGATTATTTGGGTTTGTCAAAACAAAATCTGATGCCTTATATGATGATCTATCACACTAGTGTTACACGTCGTTTGGATCACTGATGATATGGAGACTGTTTAGCAATAGTTAAAATACAAACTTTCCTGAAATTAAATTTCGTCTTACTCTTAAATCTCTACTCCTATAATGGCTCCATTCCTCAAGAGAGATTCAAACCATAACAAGCTCATTGTTGATCACCTGAAAAACGTGTCAAAAGCAATGCATATTCACTTTTAAGTATTAGTTTTGTAGGGATTTTTGTTTGATTGCATACAGGATTTAATTATGGGCTGATATCAGTTAGAGAACCACTGGAAGACCAGCTACAGGGACTACTGGACTGCCCTGTTGAGTCAGGCAGGGATCTGCGGTTCTAGTGGGAAGCTGTGACCAATAGGGTACAGCAGGTTGAAGATGAGGCAGTAACTCACTCATCGAAGAAGACATTGCGGAGTGGTCGTGCTATGTCAGTAGTGTGTCATGCACTGGCTAGCCACTGAATCGGGTCCCAGTGGCTGGTCAATGGTCTACGAGCTAGCTCGCTAGCTGGCCTTGTAACCACAAGGTCCTTGTTTCGAACCCTGTCAATGGGGGGGGGGCTATGTACTGATGAAGAGCCACAAACTAGGCTGAAGAAAATGCTGTTTGTCCAGTACTCCCTGGTTGGTTTTCCA